AAAGTCGCATCTCCCTGGAGATCCCTGCAGTCCAGCTAGGAGAGATAAAAGGGAACATGGGGAGGAAAGCAAGTGGCCAAGGCAGCTCAAGGAGCTTCATCCAGAAACAACTGGTCCAGCTCCAGGGGACTGACCCGGATGGGCCAGGTCCAAAGTGCTCCAGGAGCCCTCAGCCTTCAGAGCCTTCAGAGATGACTCGGGAGCTCACCTGGGAGCAAGCACAGAGCACACCTAGGTTATAAGGAGCTGGGATGGGGTGAGGAGGGTCAGGCCTGGAGCAGCCCCTACAAGGAATTCCAGAGCGCAGAGACCTGGTGAAGGCCTGGGATGAAGTGACTGCGCCAGCGTACGGCCATTAAATGAACCGTCCTGGGCCAAACTGTTCCTTGGGTGACTGCAAAGTCATTTCGTGCCTTGTTCCAACTATTTATCTGTCTAGCAAAGAAAAGGCACAGGCTGCAAAACGCAGCCATTGCAGCAGCATCAATAGGTTGTCAAATGGCTAATAACGTGCGTCTTTTCTGGATTGCTTTCTTTTTATGTATTTTAATAATTTATTTGGCCCATTTTTATGCTGTGTATTTAAAGTGACATATTTGTTACTTTGAAGATTGCCTTTTATTTTGGGGAGGAGAAAGAGGGGGGAAAAAAGAGATTTATTTAGATCAAGCAGCCTCCTTGGGGCATAAACCTCACCTAGACTGTGAAAACTTGTAAAATTCTCTGATGGATATTAAGCCATTTGAAATTTGATACTTTCTTCTCAGTTTGCACTATACTCCCATGCACCTTTTTTTCTAACTACATCAGCAAATTATTTGCTTGGGGTAGTAGCTATCTCCCCCATTTACAAGAGACAGAGGGCACCTTTGTGGAAGTGCCCCCAAGTAGTGTGGACTTTTTGGTTGTTTCTTGGTGAAACAGTGTCCACGCCATTCAACCCTTGGGGAAAAGAAGGAGGACAGGAATTAGCAGCGTGATGAGCCTGGCTTCCCCGGGGCGCCCGGATGTGCACCTGTGTCGCGGCTCCGGCTGGGGACGGCGCTGGGGACAGCGCCACTGCTGCGCGCTGCGGCGCCCACCCCACGTCCCTACCGCGCGGTGAGGGACACGGCGGGCACCTTTGGGCTGCCGGCACCAACGCCGCGCAGCCAAAGCAGACCCAGAGAAGGGCAGCTCTGACGAGAGCATCCCCACGCACAGCTCCGGGCCCAGTGTACATGGAGCGGGAATCACAACTGTGAGAAGGAATCACAACTATTCCGTCCTCCTCAGGAGGAATAAAGAAAGATTTAACTATTGTTGAGGAGTGAAATCTTGATGATCTCAGGGAGTTCTTGCTCAGACACATTCCGGTTGCCTTCAGCAGGCTTTAGCATGATATAACAACTGAAACAGGACCTCCAGCCTCGGCTCTGTGGAATCACAACGATGCTCTGAACTAGGGGACTCCGAGGCACACTAAGCTTTTTGTTTTTCCTTCCATGGAGTCAGAAGTGTGTTAAGTAGTGACGTCTAGTAAAATATCAGAGTAAAGTACACCATTCATAAAAGAGTGCTAATGATTAAAGGGTCTCTAATTCAACCCGGTGACCCCAGAGGAATTCTTGAAGTTGCAAAGCCATGACGTGGGGTATTAGTCACTGCCCTTTCAGTGGTGCTGACCATGCTCTGCTCTTCCAGAGGATGGAAAGCAGTTTGGAACCTTGATATAATATAAGCAAGTTGATAACATGAAATAAAAGTGTCTTACCAAGAAACAAGTGAATAAGACCACTTGGGGAATTAATTTCCAACAGTGGATGCATAGGAAAATTAACGACAATATTTACAATATCAAATTTGCTAAACCAAAAAGAAACCTGTCTGGACCATTGAAGGTTGTTTTAATGCCCCCATGGAGGGGAGTCTTTCTATGCCAAGATACCAGAAAAACCTGTGTCTAGTTTGAGTCTACATGGGCATATTGGCTATGCACAAATAACAGTCACAAATAAAAGCTGGCTTGCTGCACAGCAGTTAAGGTAAGTCAGAAAAATGGTTCCAATTTAATATGCACCTACAGGTGGCTAAACACGGTGCAAGTCAACACGAAAGCAAGTGTCTGAAAAGCCATCGTACAGGGTAGAGGTACCCTAAGGCAGAACGAGGGCGCAGCAGGCCGGAGCTGCCCATCCGCCGCATCCCGCCGCGGGGCAGGGCTTGCCCGCCAGCCCGGTCTGTGCCCACAGCCCCACAACCAGCCTCCGTCCGCAGCCGGCGCGAGCGCCCGTGGCCAGCCCTGCTGCCCGCCACCACCGTGACATCTTTGCCCACTTCTTACAGATGTGTTTTAAGCAAATGCAGCTCGTTCGTCAAAGGGAAAACATTCGTGACCCTGCATTTCTAAAGATGCCACTACCACTCACTGCTCTGCTGCCTTGCAGGGACATAGGGAGCATATCAAAGCTCTGAAGCTTTTGGGATCACTGTCATCCAGCCTGATGGAGGATTCTGAGCCCAACATTCCAGATCAAGGGGCTGCACCCACCACCCACACCTGTGTTTCAGCTACCTTCCAATCCATTGCATTTTTTGACACCAGTAAAGCAGAGCCCACAGCAACATCTCTTCAACCACAGCATAAATCTCTATCCCGAGGGCCACAATCCTGGACTTACAGGTAGGAACGATTCTTTTCATACCATCTCAGTTTCGTTTTAATGACCAAACAAGTTCTCTGATTGCCCATTGCCAAGTCCCACAAGCAAAGTTCCTGTTCCAGAAGACTCACTGTCACAAGACGCCCTTTCTCAGCTGTTGGGTCTCTCTCTTTGCTACCTATTGTCTTGGCAGCCTTTTCAGCACTTTTGCCTCAGGCATTTTTGCAATCTGGCTTGTCAGCACCTACTGGCTTTAGCAGCTCTGGAGCCTTGGCTTGTTGCCTCAGAGCTTTGGCATGAGCCTGCACTGTGGCATCCTTTCAGCTGCAAACCTACTTGCTTTGCAGGTTCTCTTGGTGATATATTTTTTTTTCTTTTTTGAAGGATGTCAGCAACTGCCTTGACCCCAGGGGGGAAGGAAGACTGATCAGCACATGCAAGCAGTGTCAGTGCAGTAGAGATGCCTATCGCAGATGAGCACATTCATTGCATCACCTGCCCAAGGAGGAGACTTGCTGTGTTGGAAAGCCAGATATCACTGCAAATGCTGGGTATCATGAGGAATTCTTCCAGGTCTTCTTCTAGGGTGCTTATCCCTGCGCTTCTGAGAGCCATGCCAATCTTGATGGTGCTCTGGAAAAATCCCTGGCAAATTTTGTAGCCCCAGACTGCTGAACATTGTGCCTCCACATTCCAGTGGGAGTAGTTTCTGTCAGCAAAGGATCTCCTCTTTCACCTCTCTCCAAAGCTGAGGAAATCCTGCACAGGGAGCCCCTGGGTTTCACATGTGATGGTGCTGGGCTGGTTCAGCACATAAGGAGATTCCCATCACCAGGAGACAACTGGGCGTCCTTTGATCTGTCTCCGTTAAAGTATTTATTCCCTTTCAGGTAGCAGCACCTCCTCCTTCCATTGTGCTCAGGGAAGTGTTTCTGAGAAGTCTTCAAATAGAAGAATCCACAGAGAAGAGAAGATCATCATCTTTGTCCTCACCATCAGGAAGCCCATATCTATAACCACTTCCAATGGAAGATGGGATTTTGGTAAAATGGGAGGACTTTTCTGTAGTTGCTAATTACTTCCTCCTTTATTCTGCTGCTTTTCCTCAGAGGACTTTGTGTAGCCACTTCAATAAACTGGCCTTCTGCTCACCAGCCTTCACCAGAAAAGGGAAAAAGATGAAGAGCAATGGCCAATGCCTAAGAAGAGGCTGACACCATCTCTCCGTATCAGAGGAAGAAGAGTCCACTACAGTGGACCAGGGCTTTTCCAGCAGTTGGGAAGGAACTGGCCCTTCCAGCAGACCACAATGGGGCTGGATCTAGGCTGCTCTCCAACCTGGAATCAGCCTCCAGATCCATCCCAAAGAACTCCAAGATTGCAAAGAATTACCGGGGATTTCTCTATCCAAGTGTCCCTGCGCAAAACACAGCTCCTTCCCAAAGGACATGGGCTTGCAGTTTATTTACAAAGCCAAAACACTGTGGGTGTCCTTCAGAAAACAGGCAATCCTGGAGCTATTTTAAAGACATTTTTTCCCCCTCGAGGTTTCCTTCCAGTGGATATTTTGCTAAGTGAAATTTAGTAACAACTATAATAATATGCAGAGAAAGTAGAAGCCGACACCATGTACAGTGTGCAAGAAAAGCAGCCGAGTAAAAAGCAGTGCCAGAACTTCACTAATCAGCAGCTTTCCCTCAGCATCCAGGAAGTGACAGTGAGGAAGTTTTAATATAGGAGAGGATTTTTTATTTGCATTTCTTAACAATAAGGGTGGTTTATAGTCCACCTGGTGTCTTTTCTCACATCATCTTTTATGGGCTTCTCCGGGTGACAAGTACCTTTGTAGCAAGGTTTTCCCCCCGCCTCTCCCCCTCGCGTGGTGCTGCAGCGCTCGCGGGCTCCGGCATCCCGGCACAAAGGGCGCATTGAGAGGCAGACAGTGGGACAGCGCCTTTGATCTGCTCCTCTAATAACTTGTGTAAGTTGGTGTCCAAACGCGGCGCTCCTCGCGGGGCTGCCGGTCGCCGAGTGAAAAGAAAACTCGGCGCGGGGGTGGCACAAGGGCTGCCGCCCGTCGAGGCGGGGAGAGCTGCGGGCAGCGCGAGCGGCAGACGCTGCCCACGCTCTGCTCCGGCGGCGGCTCCGGCCACGCTCCGGCTCTTTGCTGCACGCGGACCCCAGGGCCAGGCCTGTGGGCGCGGAGCCCGCGGTGCTGCGGGGGAGTCAGCTGGGCCGCGGGGCAGCACCCGCCCTTTTGCCACCCAAACCGGCATCTTCGCCTCCCTTTTCATTCTGGACCTTGCTGTTGGTCTCTGTAGGAAGCGGCTCTGGAGAAAGCTGGCATGGGAACCAAGCAGGAGCAGCTGGACCTTACAGCTGGGCAGTGCACGCGGCTTGCGGAAAGGCACTTTTGAAGACGTGACAACCCAGAGTGACGGAGACAGAGGGGTGGAGGAAGGAGAGAAAAAGAAGTTGCTGCATCAGAGTCCTATTCTTTGCAGCCAAGGCCTAGCAAAGTGATACACACATTTCTACTGACACATACACAGTTGCGAACTTAAGAAGGCAAATGTAAGAATGGGAATCCGTATTTTGGTTCCATTTCTGGAACAAGCAGAGTTAAAACCACAGATAAAGACACCCAGGCTTGTTTTCTATGCAACAACCTTTGGAAAATTCTTTCACGAAATGTGGAAAACTTTGGGTTCAATGTGCATTGGTTCTGCACAGGGCTTCTGTGTCGGTTTTGCTTCCTTGCAATAAGCATAAAGCTTGCTGAAGTTCTGTTGCAGGACTGGTACTGTGCTTACAAACAGACCTGTGCAGCAAGTATTTAAGGTAATAAATACCTGAAGAGGATTTTAAAACATTAGCGGAACTCTACCTAGAGGTCTGTGTGAATGACAGCAGCTGCAAAGTGTCATGGTAAACTCGCTCACAGCCAGACCTTACTGCGAGAGGAAATTTTACTCTGAAATAATGTGGCCAGGTCACTGTGCAGAGAAAGCAGAAATCACGATGGCAGCACAACTGCATGGCTACAACCAGAAGAGCACAAAACTCGACCCTAAATCACTCTTGCTGCTCACTAATATTCTCCTCATTGTGCTGAGTTCGTGTTAACAGGTTTGGATTTCAAAATCCCCCCCAACACCGCTTCTTTTTTTTTTCCAACCCCCCTCCTAACAAAATGCATCCCATAGACCTCAAGACTGTTCATACACATAACAACATAAGAGCATCCCAAATGGGCTCACAACCAAATCCTCCGCACTGTTAAAAGGAACCTCCTGAAGTCCTGGCAGGCAGATAGACGTGGTGTGAGCAAGGAAGGCTTTTCAGCGTGTAGCTTCTCTCTCTGTCTCTTCTTTCTCCATTAGCTAGTGCCCACACACCAATGCAGCTGGTGGGTTTGAGCTGCCCCTCTGCCCCTGCCCTCGTGGCACTGCAGCCAAGCTCCTGCGTTCAGACGCGCTGCAGCAGTTTCAATGCAGTGCAGATAACCTATGGAGATGCACTTAGCTGCTCTGCTCCATGCCCTGCGTCCTTTCATGTGGCACATTTTGAAATACATGGCAGAAGCTACAGGAACTCTAGGATTTACATCAAACTAACAGGGCCTCGGTTCCTCTCCTGGCAGGCAGCAGTTTCACCGTGGTGGTTTGAACGGGTGCCAGCCCCGCGGAGCGGAGCCGCTGCCGCCGGCGCGCGGCCGGCACAGCAGGGCCCCCCGCAGCAGGGCCCCCCAGGGCTCCTCTCGCAGCAGGTCTCGTAGGTGGGAGCCCCGGGGCGCAGCCACCAGCCGTCCCGCGCACCGGCCGCTCTGAGCTCCCTGCCCCACGGCCAGGGACTCCTTCTCCCAAGTTGCCTGAAAAACAGGCCATTTTAGGAGTATCGGTTCCAATGGGGAGGCTTGTGCTGCTTTTATGCAGTGACTGCCTGGACTCTTATTTATGCTGCCAAATTTAGATTAAAAACATCCAAATAAATGCCTGAAAATATATGAGATATAATTAATCTACCTCTATGGTCAATAGATAGAAATAGGTGTTTCACATGACCTATTTTATATGGCTACATTAGCCGAGATGAATCATTTTCTAGAAGGGTCTACTAGGATGTGATTTGTCTCATCTTAATATAGCGATTTAAAACAGGTCAGCTGAAAGGGCTATTCTCTCTCCTGGCTACAAAGGCAGCCTGGGTGGCTAGATCTGAAGCAGATACTGTTGACAGGTGAGAGATGTGAGATGAGGTTTGGGGCCATTACTTGGTGTAAGGCTTGATGCTCTATTCCCTTCCTCTCATGAGCAGAGACCTTTGTTTACTCAAAAATAGTGTTCCTGCTTGCTACGTGCTGCTGAACATCTAGAAGATCAGAGGGAGCAAATTGCTTTTAAGCTGAACACTGTTCAAGCGAGCAGATATAAGCCTGAAAGATGTCACCATATACACAAGGCAGTCAATGTATGTTACACGTTATTAAGCCACCTCCTGAACAGGCTCTTACAGCTGGTGTGGAAGGTTTTAAGTTTTTCTGTTTCTGCAAAAAGCAGAAGTGTCACCTTAGAAAATTTAAATAGCATTAAAAAAACACATGAAAGACTTTCTAACCACTCTGATGTTAGGGTCCGGTCTTGCTCTAAACAAGCTTACATGAGCTTAAGGGGAAACAGGGCAAAGAGATGTCAGAGAAATCTCCTGACAGAAATCTCCTACATGCACAGGAACCATCTCAGACTCAGGAACTCTCTGAATACCCTTGTTAGAAGCAGACAGATTCATGAGCCCAAGCACCACGATAAGCTAACCCTGTTCTTCTGTCCTGGCTTTTGCCCACTGGTAAAGACCAATACTCTGCACAGCCATTCTTAGATTAGCTATCACAACAAGTGAATCATATCATGAGCACCTAGAGCAGCTGAAGAACTTCCATTGCTTCTGTCCTGAGAGAGCAGAAGAAGAAAATCCCTGCATTGAGTTCAGCTAAGTCACTGAGTGGGTCTGGGGACTCTTTACTGGCTTCAAGAGAACTAGGAGGCATAATTCATTCCCTTTATGAATGAGTCATATTAATACCGCAATATTAAAGGAAAATCTTGTTTCTTATTACAGGTTCCTCATATAGTTTGAGAATTTCCTATTGAGGGGGAAAGGCATTACTAAAGCTGGATTTAAAATCTCACAAGTCAGCATAAATCTCTGCGGACAACGACACGCTTCAGATTTCCCCACTGTTGGATTATTGCTGGATACCCTAGGGTTCTCTACAAATTCGCTTTTGTAGCACAGGCCAATGAGATGCACAATATAGATTTTGTTTAGAAATTCTATATTTTCTTCATTATAGACTCTCACATATTTTTTATCTCATCTTTCAGACAGTTGAAATGTATACTCAGAATTACGGCACCCTGGCAAATTGCTAGGGACTTCAAGTATTTCAGTCTTAACCCCTAAACCAAACAGGATTAATAACGTGAAAGATAACACAGAGTGCCAGTTTGTTGTAGGCCAAACAAGAGGCCTAAAAGATGTTACACAGATGCCAGCACCACTGAAACTGCCAGAAGGGCCTAAAAATGTAGGATGTCCTTCTAACTCAAACATATTAAAGAACAGAGGAAGCAGATAATACAGAAAAAAATATTTAGGAAAAAATGATCAGCAGTACTTCTTAGACAGTTAGTCTCTGACTTATCCTTTTTTAAAGCAAGCATCTTCTGGCCCTGTCCCATGGTCTCCTGGCTGCCCAGTCAACCAGATGGTATATTCCAGCTTTTCTGTTGTGTCTTGCACTGCAGCATATACTTCTACATATTCTGCTATGTTATCTTACTCTTTCTTGCATGGATTAGTTCTTAGTATTTGGCTTTCAGCTGGATCCAAGGCTACAATAGTTTGCAGTTGGCTCTCTTTTCCCTGGAAATTAGTACATATATTTGGAATTCTATCTTCTTTGCTGGATTGAAATCTCTCTTTCACACTGCTGTTTTTTCCACAGCTTCTCCGGTAAGGTTTGCCTACCTAACTGCAGGCCATCGCTTCTAACATTTCATCCCAAAGTCTAGCAGCCGTGGTCTGGTTTTGACTTCTTACAATCCACGTTTCAACCAGACAGCACTAACATTACATACACATGAGTAACTTGATGTGTTAAGGCTGACTCTATTTCATCCCCAATATTTACTTGAAGTCACCTAAGGCCACTTCACCAGGTACTACTTCTAAAGCTTCCAAAAGCACTAGTTGACCCATTTGGTGAGGCTTCCCTGCTTGATGAAGCTGTCTATATTGTATGTTTTCAAAGAGATTTTCTTACTTCTCCAAAGTCATATTAAGCCCCTGGCTTTCAGTAATCCTTTGAAGGCTTTTATTCTTCCTTATTCACAATGCTAATCTCATAAATCTCAGAAATTTGGTTTCTTTGCTTTGCACCTTCATCTTGATATCTCTGATAATCATAATTCTATTCCAAGTTTCTCTCAATAAACCACACTGTGAGAGATCAGATTCCCCAATTATATGTATCTAATTTCCATGGACACGATTTATTGATCTTCCTGCTTTAAAATATTTTTTGGCCTGACTAACGGTTACAGCACATGACTGCCTCATGCTTGAGGGCTCTCTCCTCCTTTCAGTCACTGCTGTGTAGCCGATGTCCTTCTGTTATGGTAAGCTTAGGGGGAATGCTCTCTACACCATCTTGCTCCTTCATGATTCTCGGGCTGGTATTTCTCACTAGGTGTTCTTCGGAGCCTGAATGTCCTTTGTTTTGAACTTTCCCAAGACCTTTCAACTGCAATGGTTCCAGTTTCGTTCTCTTCATCAAGACAGACTTTTGCAGAGCTTGGCTTATTCCTCTCCATGTCCATCAAACAATTTCTTTCTGTCTCTGGTTTCTGATCTTCATTGGTTAGATGGATAAGGTCTCACAATATCTAGGTCTCCTTACCTGCTTGCCTACCTGTCCACAATATCTCTAACTTCAAATTTCTTTCTTAATGTCTTCTAACCATTTCCCAGTCTCATTTAATATTATAATTATATAATTTAATAATAATACTTTAATGTAATTAATTATATTATTTATAGTGCTATTTTGCAAGGAAAACCTGTTCCACCACAAATTTTATGACCAGTTCCAATTAGAAACTTAAGAGAAGACAAGGATTACATTTACGAGTGGGTTTTGTGTCTTCACTGGTATTACTCATCCCTTTCATCTCATTAGGGTAAAGATGAATTAGAAGAACATGACAAAGTCCAGACTCTAGATAGAACAATATAATAATTCTGTATTTTATCATATTTTGAAGATTTAAGATATCATTTGGAAAGAACAGCTTCCTACTCTGATTCATCTGGCTGTTTATTTACTTTGCAACATTCATCCTCTCAGCG